CCCGCCCGCCCCCCGGAGCCAATCCCCGGCCCGGAGCCAGGGATGAATGAACGGGCCTGTGCGCCTGTATCCCCCTCCCCACCAGCTTCTCAGCCTCTGCCAGCCCAACTCTGCCGCCAGCCCTTCTCAATCCTGGTCCTCAGCATCCTCCCCTCCCAAGCACTGCCTGGAGCGTGCCGCGCAGCACCCCGCCTCCCCAGGCACCCTAAGCCCCCCCCCCCCCCCCCCCGGGCCTGCTCCATGACATTATGCTGACATTCAGGTGGCATCCAAACCAAAGGCCAGGCAACTTGCATCCATTCCATATGTCGTGAGACTTATCCCGAGTGTGACATGGACCTCGGCCCATGGGCCAACCCCCAGCCCTGGTGACCACCACATTGTGGGCCTCTAACCCCGCCCTTCCCGAGGTTTTCATCGCCCACAGATGCCTGGCCCCTCCCCTTCAAATTCTCTCCCCAGGTGGCATCCAAACCAAAGGCCAGGCAACTTGCATCCATTCCATATGTCGTGAGACTTATCCCGAGTGTGACATGGACCTCGGCCCATGGGCCAACCCCCAGCCCTGGTGACCACCACATTGTGGGCCTCTAACCCCGCCCTTCCCGAGGTTTTCATCGCCCACAGATGCCTGGCCCCTCCCCTTCAAATTCTCTCCCCAGTTCCAGGCCAAAAGGGCCAATAGACAGGAAAGTGGCTGCCGCCAGGGACCCTCTCTCTCCCCCACTGGTCCTGACTGGCAGCACCAGAGTAGAGGCATGGGAGACAGGGCTGCGGGGTGAGCTTGGCAGTGCCAACCGGGGTGCATGAGTGGGGCAGGAATGGAAGGTTCCAAGGTGGTTGAAAATGGCATCGGGAGTAGAATGTTGGGAGTCCAAGGCTACGTCTACACAGCTTCCCTCTTCTGCAAAAGCCTATGCAAAGGAAGCACAGATTAGCATATTACTGTGCTTCATTTGCATAATTAGGAGCCATTTTTGTGCAAGAGATTTTTGTGCAAAAAGGCGCTGTGTAGACGGCACCTTTTTGTGCAAAAACGGCTCCTAATTAATTATGCAAATGAAGCATAGCAATATGCTAATCTGTGCTTCATTTGCATAGCTTTTGCAGAAGAGGGAAGATGTGTAGACATAGCCCAAGGGTTCTGTGGCAGCAAGGGACAGAATGCTGGGGGCCCAAGGAGTCCACAGCCACTGGGGGTGGAATGTTGGGAACACAAAGGTTCTGTGGCAGCTGGAGGTGGAATGCTGGGAACACAAAGGTTCTGTGGCAGCTGGAGGTGGAATGCTGGGAACACAAAGGTTCTGTGGCAGCTGGGGGTGGAATGCTGGGAACACAAAGGTTCTGTGGGAGGTGGGGGTAGAATGTTGAGACCCAAAAGTTCTGGAGTATTCAGGTGGTGAAAAACCGCACAATCGGGATGGACTCAATTTTCAGCCCTGGCTCTGAGTCTGAGCAAGGCGACATGGGCAGCGCCCAAGCACCATGGGGTCTTGCTCCCTGACTGACGCCTGGAGAGGTGCTGCGATAATACAAAGAGTAGAGCCCTGGCTCTTACACAGCATCATTCTTCCCTAGATCTCAGTGTTTTACTAATTAGTATGATCCCCGTGCTACAAATGGGGAAACCAAGGCAGAAAGGGGGAAGTGACTTGCCTCTGATCACACAGCAAGTCAGCAGCAGAGCTTAGAATCAAGTAATCTTAACTCCCTCTTTTGGGCCCCTCCTCCCACTTTAACTCCCTCCCTCAGAGCTGGGGCTAGAACTCAGAAGTCCTGGCTCCCAGCCCCCTTGCACCCACCACTGGATCCCTCTCTCCTCCCTTTCAAGGGCCTGGGATAGAGGCCAGGAGTCTTGGCGCCCCATCCAGTACCTGGCTCACTAAATACACACCAAGCCCCGCTACCCCCCCACCCCGACCTCACCGCTCCCTTTTGCATGTCAGTAGAGAGCCCCAGCGGAGCCGTCATGGGCTGTGGGCAAGGAAAGTCCTGGATGTTTATTGTTTTCAGACAGAAGTAGAAACAGAGACAATGGATAAAAAACGGCCTTGTCCCCAGCACAACTCAGATAGGCCTGGGAGACTTCCGTCTCTCTGGCCTCCTGGGGAGAGTGACCAGTCCCCCCAACCTCCACCAGCCCTGAGAGAGGGGAGGGAGCAGAGACCAAGGCACAGAGAGGGCGAGATCTGGGGACCAACAGGACAGATCCCCCTGGGACAGGCTGGGCTTGTGGGGGTTAACGATCCCTGCTGAGTGGAGAGCGGTGAAGGGGGAGACGCCCCCACCCTGCAGACTCTGTCCACAGCTCCAGCACAGAGGGGATTTCTGGTGCAGAGATGAGCCCCTGTGACACCCACATCCAGCCCTGACGCCCACCCTCCGCTGATTCAGCAGCACCCTCCTCCATCACTCCGGCTCCTCTTTGATCTGCACGTCCAGCTCTGCATCCCACGTCCCAGGAGGCAGCACCAGCACCTCCCCCACTCCGTCCTCCTCCTCGTCGTCCTCATCCCGTGGCTGGACAAAGGGGTCCCGGTAGAGCCGGGCCCCACCAGGCCCCAGCAGCGGGTCGCTCTCCTTGGCATGGGTGCGTTGGTGCTGGGTGAGGGCAGAGCCCTGGCTGAAGCCCTTCCCGCACTGCGGGCAGCCGTAGGGGCGCTCCCCAGTGTGCACCCGCTGGTGCTGGATGAGGGTGGAGCCCTGGGAGAAGGCTTTGCCGCACTGGGAGCAGACATAGGGTTTCTCGCCGGTGTGGGTGCGGCCGTGCTGGGCCAGGGCCGAGCTGTGCTTGAAGGCTTTCCCGCACTGGCCGCAGCGGTAGGGCCGCTCCCCGGTGTGGATGCGCTCGTGCCGCTTGAGGGCCGAGAGGTCTCCGAAGCGCTTGCCACAGGCCCCGCAGCCGTAGGGGCGCTCCCCGGTGTGGATGCGCTGGGGGGGGGGGCG